AATTCCGAGATCGTTTGCTCACAAGTCAACTTCTAGTTGACTTTTCCAACTAAAAGACCAACTTAAGAGACTAAGTGTCTCATTCCTCTACAAAAACCACTCCGAACCCAAACTAACCCACACAATGCGATGAAATACAGCTGAACAATATGCAAAGAAGCAGAAATGGGGAAAACGGAGCGGTAACTCTTGAAACGGCCGGCCGGGTCGTTACAAACTTCTTCACTCCAATCTTATGTACTATACTCCATGGGCGTAGTAGAGTAAATTTATGAAGTTAGATTTGTATTTAAACATCTATTCATAAAACCCTAGAAGCTAGTCTTGAAATTGAAGAGTTAGTTGGTAAAAATGATGAATAGTGTTGGGTCTTATTTGAACAATGTTATTTTGAGTTTCTAGTGGAACGACTATATCCCATAACAAGTTTAAAGAATGAGTTGGAGTCAAAATTCAAGGATTGACCTTCAAATGAGGAAATGAGGATTTTTGTTAAACTTATGAAATTGGACTTAAGTGTTAGACACTTAGTTGGTTTAGTTGGTATCGTTGTGATGCGTTCTTGAATTATATGAGTTCGTATATGTAGATTGTGAGTTGTTGGCATTATTGGATCATTTGGGATAAGGTTGGAAGCAAGTTGAGGTACGTTGAAACTTACTACCCTCGGAACGTTTCTCCAAACTCATATCGAAACACGATTAAACTGAGTATCTAAATGCGAGTCCTAGCTTATGGGGACGAGCGAGTTGGGATTGTACCATTCTTGCATCATAAAAGATTAAAGTGTTATGAATATTATTTTCTTGAAATATTTTATCTTAATTTTAAAAACTAAATAAATAAGGAATAGCACTTGTAGTATTTTGAAATGGAAATACATGAGTTGTGAAATATCTTGGATTTAACTATTCTCAAATTGTTGATTTGGCTATAAATATCATCATTGATAAATGTAAAGGTATGGGAGTTACTTAAATTCTCCGAGATTGACCTTGAATAATTTTCCTCATTAGGTCATGAAACTACACGTGCTGCTGTAGGCGTAGAACCTACCTTACGGTTGAGAACTACGGTAGAGTACTTACCATTAGAGGTACTATTGTGCTACTTTATTAGCATGACTGAGTCGATTCGTGCGGCACAACGATGAGATGACCTGAGCAAGTAGGGTATATGATACTTGTCGCTAGGTACATAAACTAGTTGACCTTATTTCGTGTCAGTGATGGTATAGTGCTCCCGGAAAAGAAAAATCTAACATGATTCTGTAAAGATCAATGCTAAAGGAAGACTTTGAAATATGTTTTACCATATTATTTTATTTTACTTTCTAAATTGTTAATTTATATGAAGGCTTGTTTCTTGATATCAATTGTTATTGCATATCTTATATCTTCTTAAATCTTATCTTATTTTCTTTTGGGGAACAGTTCATGATTCGTACTAGGCATATGGAGCTTAGGCCTTTCAGCCACATTTCCATTTCTATTTTCAGGGACTGGACCTGAGCAGCTTGGGTCGCGTGGATAGGGCAGCTCTACATTCCCGTTGACGTTATTTGGTGAGACTGCACGCTAGTATTTGTGGAGGACTTTATTATATTACTATCCTTTTGAGCCACCAGGTTATGCCTTGGTTGACTATTTCATTCTGTATCACAGTGATTCCATAGACAATAGTAGTATTCATTTTGGGTTGTAATCCTATGGTTACTTACATGCCGTGCATGAATGAAACTTTCTTTTATCTTTGTGAAGCTTTGCCTTCAAAGGAAAATATTTACTTAAAGACATTATTCATGTTTTGCGTATATCTTAAAATGATTGTAATTGAAGAGCCTTTTTCATCCTTCTATTAGGCATATAGATGTGTATTAATCTATAGGATGGTTCACTCGGGTAGGGTAGAGTACCGGGTGCCGGTCACGTAGTTTTAGGGTGTGACAAACTTGGTATCAGAACCCTAGGTTCCAATTTGAGTCCTAGGAAGTCTATGGAATTGTGTCTGGTAGAGTTCTCTTTATTGGTGTGTTGTGCGCCACACTTATATCGAGAAGGCTATATGGACATTATAAGATTACTTCACTCTTTCTTCTTATTCTAGAATCGTGCAATAGAACTAAGAAATATTTCCTAACTCATGCGCTATATCAACTGGCAGAAGATGGTGAACACATGTGGCGGTAATACGAATCGGGAAGCTGCTCCTATAACTGATGCGACTTCGGGAGGGTTACCCGCTAGACCTAGGGGCCGACCTTCGAAGGCTGCAAGAGCACGGACTGTGCCAGTTCTAATGGCTTTAAGGATGGTCCAGGAGCTCGAGGAAGAAGTTGCTGAGGCACCTGCTCTACCTCCAGAACCAAATCACTTGGAAAAGACCCTCACTGATATTAGAAAGGCTATGGATACTTTCGCTGACCTTATGGCTCTGCAGATCCAACAGAACCTTCAAGTGGATATTCAGGCACTCCAACAAGGAGGGATGAGAGCACCAACGGTTGAGGACATGGGGCCATGAAATTTGTGAGACTTGAGTTGCCAGTTTTCACTGGTACAGATCCCACTGCAGACCCTTAGGACTTATTCGAGGAAGTTGAGAAAGCTACTACTTTGCTGGGAGTTAAAGACTTCCGGGTGGTTTAATTGGCAGCGTACCAGTTTAAAGACATTGTTGACATCTAGTTCGAAGGGGTAGAGAAAAGTCGATCGCAAGATGCACCTCCAATGATTTTGGAAGAATTTAAGAAGATCTTTCTTAAGAAGTGGTTACCACCAGGAGTGAGAGCTGCCCTTGCGATACTGTTTGAGACCTTAAAGCAGGATACCATAACCGTTCTTGAGTATAGCATCAAATTCGAGAAGTTATCCCGTTATGCTCCCCACCTCATCCCCACCGAGGATGAGAATAATGATCGATTTGCTCGTGGCTTGATTCCGGTCATCAGAAAAGATACAACCAGTGGGAGAATAAACACTACCTTTACTAACTTTATAGATCTAGCAATGGATCTCGAGAGGATTCATCAGGAGGAGAGGGCCAATAGGGAGCAGAACAAAAAGTCTCGGAATTTTGGCACTTTCAGTGCAGTGCATAGTTCGGGCAAGGTGCAAAACAACAGAGGATGACCTGGCCCATAACAGTCTAGGATGAAGACAACTTTCAGTAGCCCTCTAGTGGCATACAATTCCGGACAAGGAGGCCAGTCTAGGTCCATTCAGAGTGAGCACCGTACTGCACAACATGGTCAAAGTAGTGTGGGTTCTCATCAGCGTAAGCCTAGTGTTACCAGGGGACCCCGTGGTCCGTGCTATGGTTACGGCTTAACGGGTCATATCCAAAAGTTTTGCCCTAATGGGGAACAGGGTTCGAGAGCTCACCCGACACCTTCTATGGCTACTACTTCAACTGTACCGCCCCCACCTAGGGGTAATGGGGCCCACAGCGGGCGCAATGCAGGAAAGGTGCCACAGACAACTGCTACTTCTCAGGGAACTCATCCTCGTTTCTATGCCATGCCTACTCGCCCTACTGCAGAGGCTTCAGATGCTGTCATCACAGGTATACTTACAGTTTGTGCTCTAGATGCTTATGCTCTTATGGATGCTGGATCTACTTTTTCCTATGTTACTCCGTACTTTGCTTTGGATTTTGTGATAGAGCCAAAACAACTACTTGAACTATTTTGTGTGTCGACTCCGGTTGAAGATTTTGTTATTTCCTCCCGCGTTTATAAGGGTTGTGTAATTATAATTCAAGATTGAGAGACTACGATAGACCTCATTGAGCTAGAAATGGTTGACTTTGATGCGATTATGGGGATGGATTGGTTATACAAGTGTTACTCCATTCTTGATTGTCGTGCTAAAGTGGTCAAGTTTGAGTTTCCTAATGAGCCAGTTCGTGAGTGGAAAGACAATATTGCTGAGCCTTGAGGTAAATTTATTTCATACTTTAAGGCGAAGAAGATGATCACAAAGGGATGTCTTTATTATTTTAGTCAAGAGTCATTGACACAACTGCGGAGATAACAATCATTCAGTTTGCGCCAATTGTTAATGAGTTTCCTGATTTTTTTCCTGATGAGCTTTCGGGTATTCCACCAGATCGGCTTATCGACTTTGGTATATATGTGGTTCGACATATGCAACCGATATCTATTCCCTCGTACCGAATGGCTCTAGCCGAGTTATATAATTGAAGGAGCAATTGAAAGATTTACTGGATAAAGGGTTTAGTAGACCTAGTGTATCACCTTGGGGTGCGCCAGTGCTGTTTGTGAAAAAGAAAGATGGTTTTTTGAGGATGTGTACTGACTACGGGAAACTTAACAAAGTGACCGTCAAGAATAGGTATCTATTACCTCGAATAGATGACTTTTTTTACTAGTTGCAAGGGCAGAGTTCTTCTCGGAGATTTCTTTAAGGTCGGGGTGTCATCAGTTGAAAATTCGAGAGAAGGATATTCCCAAAATGGCTTTTTGGACCAGCTACGGGCATTACGAATTTTTGGTGATGTCAATTGGGCTAACAAATACACCCGCAGCCTTTATGGATCTAATGAATCGGGTTTTCAAATCATTTTTTAATAGATTCATGATTGTTTTCATTGATGACATATTAGTCTATTCACGAAGTCAAGAGGATCATGCCAATCATTTGAGAATAGTGTTGGAGATGCTTTTGGAGAATGAGTTATATGCCAAATTCTCTAAGTGTGAATTTTGGCTTGAATCTGTGGCATTCTTGGGTCATGTGGTATCTCGTGAAGGTATTAAGGTTGATCGTCAAAAGATTGAAGCGGCTAAGAGTTGGCCTAGATCAATTACAACTACAGAGATCTATAGTTTCTTGGGATTAGCGGGTTACTATTGGTGGTTTGTTGAAGGGTTTTCTACTCTTACATCTCCGTTAACCAAGTTGAAATAAAAAGATACGAAGTTTCAGTGGTCGGATGCTTGTGAGAGAATTTTTCAAGAGTTGAAAGCTAGATTGACTATGGCACCGGTGTTGACGTTGCCAACAGGTTTGGGTGACTTTATAGTTTACTGTGATGCCTCTAGATTTTGGTTGGGTTGTGTCTTGATGCAGAAAGGTAAGGTTATCGCTTATGCTTCTAGACAGTTGATGATCCATGAGAAGAACTATCCGACCCATGACTTGGAACTTGCTGCGGTTGTATTTGCTTTGAAAATTTGGCAGCAGTACTTGTACGGTGAGCACTGTGAAGTATACACCGACCATAAAAGCTTGAAATATATATTCAAGCAGAGGGAATTAAACCTGAGGCAAAAGAGATGGTTATAACTATTGAAGGATTATTGGTTATAACTATTGAAGGATTATGATTTAAGCATTCACTACCATCTGGGAAAGGAGAAAGTGGTAGCCGATGCGCTAAGACGAAAGTCAGGAGGTACTTTGGTGCATTTACCGATAGCTAAAGAGATTTCTGTTTGTGCCATAGCACGTTCCTCTCTTATTGAGCGTGTCAAGGCTAAGCAATTTGAAGATCCAAATTTGGTGGATATTCGAAATGGTGTACAATCTAAATATATCCTCGCTTTTTCTCTTGACGAGGATGGGGTGTTGAGAATGAACGGTTGCTTGTGCGTGTTAGATATTGATGGACTTCGTAATGAAATTATGGCTGAGGCACACAGATCGAAATGTTCTATACATCCAGGGTCCATAAAAATGTATAAGGACTTGCGGGAGATCTATTGGTGGAATCGAATGAAGGAAAACATTTCAGACTTCGTGGCTAGATGTTTAAATTGCTAGCAAGTAAAATCTGAGCATCAAAGACCTGGTGGGTTGGCTCAAAATATCGAGATTCCACTTTGGAAGTGGGAGCTGATTAATATGGACTTTGTGGTGGGTTTTCTTTGCACCCGCTTGAATCATGACTCTATTTGGGTGATTGTAGACCGACTTACAAAATTGGCGCATTTCTTTCTGGTAAAGATGACTGACACGGCACCACAGTATGCTAAGTTGTACTTGAAAGAAATTGTCAGACTTCGCGATATTCCAGCTTCCATTATAACTGATAGAGGGGCCCAATTTACTACTCATTTTTCGCAGTCCTTCAAGAGGGATTGGGTACAAGTATCAATTTTAGTACCATTTTTCATCCACAGACTGACGGACAAGCTGAGAGAACTATTCAGATGCTTGAGGATATGTTGCGGGCTTGTGTCCTTGATTTTGGTGGGAATTAGGATGAACACTTACCTCTGATCGAATTTGCCTACAATAATAACTATCATGCTAGTATCGAGATGGCTCCATATGAGGCTTTGTATGGACGACGTTGTAGATCACCTATTGGATGGTTTGAGCTAACTGAGGTAGGACTACTTGGTCCTGATCTTGCACATGATGCCTTAGAGAAGGTGGCTTTGATTCAACAATGGCTTAAGACTGCTTAGAGTCGACAGAAAAGCTATACAGATGTACATCGACATAAGTTGGAGTTTAAAGAGGGTGATCAAGTGTTCTTGAAAGTATCGCTAAGTCCTAGATTCATCGTTCCATATTGTATCTTGAAAAGGATTGGGGAAGTAGCCTACAAGATGGAGTTACTTGCATCGATGACTTTGGTTCATCCTGTTTACCGTGAAGATGGTAATTACAATTAAATTTGATGATGGGACTCTAAAAATACGTGATCTATTTTTATGCCGGTTGTTGAGCAGTTGATGCTATGTATGTGAGACTTAGAAGCGAAATAAGAGTTAAGGATGAAATGATAACCAAACCGATAGGTAGACAATCGGAGGCCTCAAGCTCGTCGATCCGGGGCCTTGAGGTCGATTCCGGGGCTCGACCGTGAGCTATCGAAGGTAATCGAAGTATGACTAACAGTTATGACAAAATCTAAGAAGGCTCCTTATGGCCAATGATAAGCAATAAATGGTGAACACTAATGAAGATAATAAATGGAAGCAAATATATCAAGAGAATATGTAAGAGAGCATAGAGAACGTTATTTTATATTTCTTGTGAATCAGCTGAAGCAACAGATCCTTACAAAATGACAAGGGTTCCCTTTATATAGGAGGGAAATCCCAGCATAGTACAAAATACATTAATTACATAGATATGGGGATGTGACAGCTAAATGACACCCTGATTTGGGTTGAGAATAGCCCACTAGACTTTGTCAGCCCTAGCTGCGTGCCTTGGGAACTCCCCATTTCTACCATAGCCGGGATCAACATTATCTCAAGGTCGAGCGTCAACGAACCTCGAGGAAGGAAAAAACTCGACCGTAGCCTCGTAGCCTCGAGCCTTCGCGATGATCTTCCGAGGTACCTTGATTACGTGATATCGAACCCTCCGATTCTACCGTATACAGATAGTCCCCGCGTTTCTTAGAGTAGAGCGACAAGAAACGACTTTGACAACCATCTTTCCGAATTTCCCGTGATAGTATCGTATTGATGGTGTAAGTATTTGTGATAACCGGAACGCTCCGTCAGTCTACTTTTCTAGAATTATTCACTGCACTGTCGACCTTTATTCTTTAGAACAATAATATCGTCGTCAGTCCATTTTTCAAAAATGCATTGATTGCTCCTGCCGATACGTCTTTCAAGGACATCAATGGGGCTGCCGGTTACGCTGCTATCCCCTATAACAGGGGGCCTCCTGGAACCACTTCTTTATTCAAGTGTTCTCAAATTAGTCTTTAGCCTTTCTCTTCTCTTTATCCCCATCCATTGTTATTTTCCATGTTTGAGCCCTGCGGTCTTAGGGCCGTATGGCGGCATTTTCATCAGTCATGCTACGGCCTTTTCCCAGGGCTTTCTCTTGCCGAGCGAGATTACACCAACTTGTTATTATTGTTGTTGTTATTACTGCTGTCGTCATTGGCTCGAGATGGTGAGACAGGGAGGCCGATCTCTTTCGTCTTGGGAATGTGTTTGGACTATACACTGCTGCTCACGAGGGCGCTCGGACTATACACCGCTGCTCACCCTCTTTTCCCGGCCTAGTGTGGCACTTCACCTCTTTTGCTTTCCGTGGGGCGAAGTGGTACCTCTGGCCGGTAGCTTGCATGGCACAATGTCCCGAGAAGTGGACTCAAAGTAGCCATGCAAGCGAGGCCGACACCCACCAAGTCTTCTATCGGGCCATAATCTTTCGGGCCTGGGTAAAGCCTTCGCTCCTTGGCGGGTTATGGCATTTTTTCATCCCTTTCTGTTCCTCCCACTTTCCTCTTCTTCATCTTCTCCTTTGAAGATGCTACTTTGGGAGACCGAGATGAGACCATTGAGGAAGCGGTGCTTGAGTATGCTGCCGCCGAGGGTGCTCCCTAGAGAATGGGCTAGGTACACCTTTTTGTTTCTTTGTTTATGTGTAAGGACCCTTTGTGGGCTTTTGTAACCATATGTAAGGACCCCTCATGGGCTTTTGTAATCAAGCGTTTATGAATACAAAGATGTTTCCCCAATTTCGTCTCTGATGTTTGCTATGCACCTTTTACTTGCGCTTATGGAAACTCTGAACGCATGATCCCACCGGTCGGTGCCGATATCGAGCCTAGGTGGAAGTATATTTCTCTGACCTTTGATTGATTAATACGGCTCCCCGTGGAACCCTTTGCATTTCCTCGGACCAAGCCTGGATTGGACGTCGGGACCCTTACTTCGGGTTGAATGGAAGTAATGCTTCGAACATTTAGACTTTCGAGAGCAGTCTTTAGGCCTTGCAATAATCTTCGAGTGGGAATTAGCTCGGGAAATCGAGAATAGGGGCTATCATTGGACTTTTGAGAACAGTCCCCGAGTTGGGTTTGCTCAGACTCGGGCCATCTGGAAGTTTGTTTTGATCTTATCGTAAGTAGCCTTATGGCGTTGCAGGTAGATCCAGAACGAGGTTTTACCCGAACTTAGGTGGTACCTTGTGATCAAGCCATATGGGTGGAGCATAAATGCTTGTTTCTTTGGAGCCTAATTTCCCTTCGACGGAGGTCTTCGAGGTCGGGTACCACCTCGGGACTTGCGGCGAAGCCGTTGGCTTCTTAAAGCCTAGCTTCTTTTTGATGGAGATCTTCGAGGTCGGGTACCACCTCGGAACTTGCGGTGATGCCGTTGGCTTCTTAGAGCCTAACTTCTTTTTGATGGAGGTCCTCGAGGTCGGGTACCACCTCGGGACTTGCGGTGATGCCGTTGGCTCCTTAGAGCCTAACTTCTTTTCGATGGAGGTCCTCGAGGTCGGGTACCACCTCGGTACTCGCAGTGGTACGGGGATCTCCGTTCCCGAGACATTACATGGCATCGCCTAATGTACAATATAGCTGCAAAGCTATCAAGGCGATTACGCCTGCGTATCTTCCCGAAGCGATATCGGTCAGCATTTTTTAATTGGCTTTTGAGGCAAGCGGACCATCGCCGCTTTTTCCATATATATATATATATATATATAGGGTTGTTTTTGCACTTTGGAGATCCCACCCTTCTAAGTATTTACCCTTCTTTTCCTGCGTTAAGCCTTTTATCATTTTAGTACCAGCGTACTCGTACCGACTCCTTGCTTTAGTTTTCTGAGTCTGCCGTCGCCATGACTATTACATCGGGGTCTGTCGGGCAGAGAGGGGAGAGCTCCGCCTCCGGTATTCGGGACCAACGAGAGCATACCTTGAAGATTACTTCTTTTATAGGAGAAGAGAATCTTGGGTTAGTGAGAAAAGACTGCGGCTGGGGGGAGAAAGTAGTGTTACAGATACTTTCCCCGGATGAGGGCATCACGGATCGTGCCGATGGATTCTTGAATGTGTACACGTATCCTTTCACACTGGGCCCCCTTGATNAGGCTGACCAGGAGATGGCGATCTATTTGAAGGACACTGTCGATGCTCAAGCTGAGATGCGAAAGGCCCTCGATCGTGAAGGCAGGATCAAGGACTATGCTCGTTGCAAGTCTCGAAGAAAGACTCTCGAGGAGATCCGTGCTAGGGGTTTTATCCTCTCGGAATAGTTGGCGCGAGCGAGGGCGGACGAGCGTGATGCTCGGTTACTTCTGTCTGGCACCGATGATAGCGAAGATGAGGCCGATGGGCCATAGCCCTCAGAAAAGGGGGGGGGGGGGCGTAGATTCTACCATCTGTATGTAGCATTTTCAAAGCATGTTTTGGAAATGGAGATTGCGTTTTTTCTTATATGTGTATAAAGAACCATGTGGCTTTACTTCTTCTGTATCCCCTTTTGTCTCGAATTTGGTCGAGTGAACTGGTCTTTTCAGTCGATAGGAATCCTTGGATTCGCGATATGGCCCTGAGGCTCAACGGGCTGGCCTGTAGGTTTTTATGTACTCGGCCGGTGCGAGCCTTTTGTGTAAGCTGGCGTTTGAGCTCTTATGCTCTTTAAACATATTTTGATCAACTGTTTTGGGTTTAGCCTCCGAGTCGGGTTTCGACTCGAGCTTATTTGACCCTCAAGTTTTTGTATTTGCATGGGCTGGCGATAATAACTCTTATGACTCGGGTCGAAGTGACCTTTTAGTGTAAGCTAGCGACAATGGCTCTTATGCCTCGGGTCAAAGTGACCTTTTATGGTAAGCTGGCGACAATGGCTCTTATGCCTCGGGTCGAAGTGACCTTTTAGTGTAAGCTGGCGTTTGAGCTCTCACGCTTTTTTCCCTGGGGCATTTTCAGTTAACTGTTTTGGGTTCAGTCTCCGAATCGAGTTTTGACTCGAGCTCATTCGACCCTCAAGTTTTGTATTTGTGAGGGCTGGCAACAATGGCTCTTACGCCTTGGGTCGAAGCGACCTTTC